CAAGACATTACTAATTTTCCATCCTCCATTCCAAAATCCCTTCTACATCCCAAGTGTCACTCAAAGAGCCCTACCATAGCTCTTCGTTGCTTGAATAAAGGCTCAAAGCCCATCAATTGATGATTTGCTGCTACATTGATTCACGGCTCAGGATATGTCGGTCGCCGGTCGGATCGAGGTTCAAGGCCCGTCGATCGACAAGTTATGATCGGGTTGGATCGAGGTTCAAGGCCCGTCGATCAACGAATTGTAATAAGGTTGGATCGAGGTTCAAGGCCCGTTGATCGACGAATTATGATCGGGTCGGATCGAGGTTCAAGGCCCGTTGATCGACGAATTATGATCGGGTCAGATCGAGGTTCAAGGCCCGTCGATCAACGAATTGTGATGGGGTCGGATCGAGGTTCAAAGCCAGTCGATCGACGAATTGTGATGGGGTCAGATCGAGGTTTAAGGCCCGTCGATCGACCAACTATTATGGGGTTGGATCGAGGTTTAAGTCCCATCGATCGACCAACTGTGATGGGTCGGATCGAGGTTCAAGGCCTATCGATCGACCAACTGTGATGGGGTCGGATCAAGGTTCAAGGCCCGTCGATTGACCGCGGAGATGGCTCATGGTTCAAGGCCCAGGATCTATTGACCGAATGTTTGGTTCAAAGTTTGAGGCCTGGTTGACTACTGCTCACCTTGCTGAGGTGGATCTTGTCAAGGTGTTGACTATTTGACTTGACCTTTGGTGACGTGGCTGAACCACGTCCACAAGTACCTTCCCACAGACGGTGCCAAAATTTAGGTGCATAAAATTTCGGCCCGAATGCAATGATTCAATTTGAGATATTTCAACTAAAACACTCAATAAAGAAAATAATTAGAAAGAAAACATAAAGCAATGAAGAATAAGAGCTTATATGAGAATCAGATATTTTTCATTGGGTCTTACTTTGTGTATTTGTAGTTGTTACAATGAGGATTCTTTGGGGCTTCTTTGGGGTCGTTACCGGCCTTTACATATATGGTCATAATTTTCCCATGATTATTTACAATTCAATGTGGGGCATTACTTCCAGTTGTACTTGGTTATAGCCTTGGATTGGGCATACTAGAGCGGGTCTCACTTCTAGGGATTATTTTTGGTGCCAGGCATTCTCTCACTCGGCCTTCATGCTATGGGCTTCTTCTTCTACCCAGTAGACATGGTTTGGTTTGACATGTGGTGTCTTGCGAATGGTGGAAAAATTTCCTTCCGCGTGTTCTATTACTAGTTGATTTATTGGTGATGAATGGAAAATAAGAGGAGAAAAGAATCATAATATAACAAATAATTTGAAAAAATTAATCCACGCATTCTTTTAATTTATTTATAAAGTCTCAATATATGTTGTTGAGGGAGCACAAAACTATTGTGGTGGACTTTAATCGTTAGTTACATAGAGAATTGGGGCAGTCAAACTTATTGATTTTGTGAAGTTATTTTGTTTACTGAGCTATAGGTGTTGCATGCAACCCTACCGCGGGTGCCTTCCCTAGGAAGCTTTCCAAGTTTTTTTTTTTTGGTAATTAGTTTTCAGGTCGGTTTTTGATTTTGAAAAAGGCAAGTTTTGTAGGATAAGTTGATCTCTATTGTGACTTTTTATACAACTTTGGCATGACGAACTTTTTTGGTCTCTAGACCTGCTCTATTTCGTCGGAAAAAGGAGTTTTGATTATGGAGGCAGTGAATTCTCTGGTTATGTCTTCGGGCGTTTGGCCTTTGATCCACTCGTCCACTTCTCTCGTAAAACTTGCCAGGATATTGTTGTTTGCCAAATGTTGAAGATACCCGTCCGGGACAAAGGTGCTTCGCTTTCCGGATTTGGCATGATCTTTTAGGCCTTGTGTTTGCCGTGGCATTCCCAACGTTGATTCTGCCACTACGTGGGACTAATTGACCATGTCATTCACATTCTGTTCGGGTATGGCTCGAGGTGCGTCGAGATTCTGTGGAGGATTCCTCGGTTACCGAAGGTTATATTGTTGTCTCCTTCAACCATTGGGATTGGTGACAGGTTCAGCTGTTCGTCCTGCTCAGGCTGTTGGTCCTAGGAAATCTGTCGATCAATAGCTGGTAGGGGAGGAGGCATGTTGGCCTGCTGAACAGCGGTCCTAAGCTCTTCATTCTTCTGTTGCAAGGCATTGATTTGAGCGGCACTTGCCTCGCTGGCTTGCCTTAAAGTGTTGATTTGCTCGGCACTAGCCTTGTTCGCTTAGCGCATGGTATTGAATTGCTCCTTCTTCTCTTCGCGCAACTTTTTTATGATTTCTAGTTGCTGCATTTTAAAGGTGTCTGATCTCGTTGCCGTCCAGGAGCGGTGTTGCATGTATTAAATAACTCAACAATTGTGGTGAGAGGCTTTCAGTACCTTCCCACAGACGGTGCCAAAGTTTAGGTGCATAAATTTCGGCTCGAATGCAACGATTCGATCCAAGAGATTTCACACTCAAACACATAGTAAAGTAAATAATCAGAAAGAAAACATAAAGCAAGGAAGAACAAGAGCTTATAGTAATGAGAATCAGATATTTTTCGTTAGGTCTTACTCTTTGTATTTATAGTTATTACAATGAGGATTCTTAATTTGGGGCCGTTACTACCCGTTACATATATGGTCATAATTTTCCCATGATTATTTGCAATATAATGTGGGGCGTTATTTCGAGATGTACTTGGTTATAGCCTTGGATTGGGCTTACTGGAGTGGGTCTCACTTCTTGGGCCAATTTTTGGTGCTAGGCATTCTCTCGCTCGGCCTTCGTGCTATGGGTTTCTTTTTCTAGCCAGTAGACATGGTTTGGCCTGACATGTGCCGTCTTGTGAATGTCGGGAAAATTTCCCTCCACATGTCTATTACTAGTTAATTTATTGCTGATGGATGGAAAATAAGAAGAGAAAAGATTCATAATATAACTAAAATAATTTGAAAATAATTGATCCACGCATTCTTTTAATTTATTTATAAAGTCTCAATATATGTTGTTGAGGGAGCACAAAACTGTTGTGGTGGAGTTTGATCTTTAGTTACTTAGAGAATTGGGGCGGTCAAACTTACTGATTTTGTGGAGTTATTTTGATTACTGAGCTGTGTTGCGTGCAAACTTACCGCGGGTTGCCTTCCCTAGGAAGCTTTCCAAGTTAGTTTTTTTTTTTTTTTTTTTTTGGTAATTAGTTTCTGTTCGCGCGGTTTTTGTTCCCTACGCCGGTCGATGGACTCTTCACGGCCGTGACAAAGTATTTGAACAAAATACCCAAAATATGTAATTGAACACCAGCCTATTCCTTTTCCCGATGGCTGACTCTCAGGCGATTGTGTGGGAGAGAGACTAGTAAGAACTCCCAGCAAGGTTCTTTTATGCCTTTTTTGTAGTAAGGACTTTTTAGAGTGTCTAAAGAAATGCAACGGCTGATGAATGTTTGAATGGATGGAATGGCCGAGTGAAGACAGGCGGCAAGAACTTAATCGATCGCCGGCCGAACGTGATGGCGAGAACTTAATCAATCGCCATCAGCCAAACACAATGGCAAGAATTTAATCGATCGCCACTGAAACGTGATAGCAAGAATTTAATCAAATCAATTGCCATCAGCCAAGTAATGACAAGAATTTAATCAATTGTCACTACGATTCAATGGCAAGAATTTAATCAATTGCCCTTGAATTGAAAGCCTAACTAAAATTGCGTAATTAAAATTGGCATAATTGAAATTGAAAAAAAGTAAATGGCTGAATCGAAATAGTTGACGAGGATCTAATCAATTGCCATTAAATTGAAATAAAGAAATTGATAGGAAAATGACGTAGAGTCAATTGAAAATATTTTTAGATGAAATGCATGTTTTGTGGTGGTGCTGGACAAGTTAGAAATGGAATACAATACTTCTATTTATAGAAGTTCTATCTCAACTTATTTCCCTAAGTTATTGCTAGAAAATCTCTCCTTCTTTGATTCTTTTTCTTCACAATTTGAACTCAGTCAAATCCTATTGTTATTCCGCTTCCTTTCTTGTTTTGTTTCAGTAGGAAATCTCTGTAAAAACAACCTTCCTCGATTTAATCACATGTAAGTTGCCGAGATATTGCTAAAACGTTGCTAGAAAGTTGCTGAAAAGTTGCTACTTTTTAGCAACTCCCCTCCTTAAGTTAGCAGCCCGTTTCATTCCCTTAAATGGCCTAATGGCCATTTGTAACTTTTGAACTTATACGGCTATTCCTTTATTGTTGAAATTCCTACTTCATTGGGATTTAGTTATTTATTGTAACTAAATCTCTTAAGTCTTCTCTTTTGAATTGATGACATATTTGAATTGATTCAAATCTCTACAAATATATTTAGCAACAACCTTATCAACAAAGTGGCTGAAATATATTTGCCTAGATTTTCTCCTTTTGTCTCTCTATTGGCCGACTTCCCTTAAGACATAATAAACACTTGTCAATTTCTCATTGGTTCACGTCATTGCTGAGATGGCGGCCAGTTTTTGGTGCCAACAGTTTCCAAGTCGGTTATTGATTTTGACAAAGGCAAGTTTGGTAGGATAAGTTGATATCTATTGTGACTATACAACTTTTAGGGATGATAATAAATTGATTTGTTCAAAACGGGAGAGCAATTGGGTTTGCTTGCGAAAATAAAAAAGATGCATTAATTACAATTTCTATAATTGAATTTTTCAACCAATGAGATATGCGACGGTAACTGTGTTTAGCACTCCTCTTTTGATAATTGGAAACACTTTTAGTAAATAGTTTTCAAGTCGATTTTTAATTTTGAAAAAGGCAAGTTTTGTAGGATAAGTTGGATCTCTATTGTGACTATTTTTACTTCTTTTAGGGATGACAATAAATTGATTTGTGCAAAGACGAGAGAGCAATTGGGTGTGCTTGTGTTCTTTGATTGTTTTTTTTGGGTTTTCTCAACAACAAAAAAACTCAAATCTTAATAGCTAGAGAGAGACTACGGCGATGATGAACGATTTTAGGGCGTGGATGCTGAGAGTGGTTATTGGCTGTCCACGTCTCAGAAGAAAAAAATCGTTGGAATCCTACTTTGATAAACTATCCGACGATCTGTTTGTAGAAATTCTCCAGAGACTCCCTCTCAAACTCATCCATCTCTGCAAGTGCGTTTCAAAACGCTGGTATGGTTTCATATCCACTCCTCACTTTGCGCGATGCTATGCTCACAATTGTTCGTCTTTGGTGCCTCCTTTTGCCCTCTTCCACCAGTTCCAATATCCAGCTTGTGGAGTCCGATCAATAGCCGAAGAACCCATTTTTGAATCTCGTGGGTTTGATCTGGACTTCCTTGTAGCACCACCATCAAATGAACATCAAACAGAGGCAAGTCGTTACTTAGCACCGAGCAATGGCTTAGTACTATCCTCAGCAACCTTGAATTTTCCGAGGGTTTACTATGTCTGCAACCCACTCACAAGGCATTGGGTTGAGCTTCCTCCACCACCGACTTGCCAAGAAAAGGTTAACAGTGGATTTGTTTGCAAACCATGTTATTCTTTTGATGGTACCACCTGCACAACTAGTTTCAGAGTGGTTCGATTAATCCACCAATTTGAACCACCACAAAACCCACCACCAGGTTCGGCCACTCTTAAATTGGAGATATTTTCATCCGACACATGCAAATGGACCGAAACAATCATATCGATCAGAGGGCATAAATTTATTGAGTCCCACTGCCATTCTAATGCGGTGGTTTGCAATGGAATACTCCACTGGATGAACCTTTATCGTGGCAAGATTTTTCCCTATGATCCATTCAACAACACCGATCAATTTCGTACTATAAGAGAGCCCAAGGACATATCTGTCAAGGAGGCCTGTGAACATCTCTTGGGAGTGCCAAGGACAACTCAGGTTCAGTCAATATTATATTGACACCGTCACCGTTTGGGAACTTAAGGACTACAATGGGCTTGAATGGTCCTTGGTGCACAATGAAATGGGATGATCCCTGGTTTCGCAATGATTTTGTTGGCTCCGGTCGTGTATCAATACTACCTCTTCATTCCATTGATGGAGATGTTACATATCTACGGTTCCTGGTAGTATTATTCTCTGCAACATGAGGAGCAGAACTTTGAAAATTGTGTTTTCTGACTTTGGCAGTCCCTACAGCGGCCACCTGCCTGCAACGGTCCTTCCCTTTGTGCTTCCATGGTGGCCTACTACAGTTCCTCAACTCCGACGGAATGTCCCGGTCGGAGTAATATATAATTTCCTAACTTTGTTTTTCTCTAGTCGCTAGTATCCCAGTAGGATAAGAATGTTCCTAGTTTAATGTTGGGGTTATCATGATGAAACCCATTAGCTACAAGATTATATTTTCATTCTTGCTTTGAACTCTTTGATGGTGTTATTTATTTATTTTATTTTTTCGGAGTAAGTGTGATACTGAATTAAGTTGGAAACAGTGTACAGTCTTACCGCAGGGCGGAGGCGTGGGGGCCAAATTTATAAGCAAACATTACCATCAACTATAAGACTACTTTAAACTAAAAAAAAAAAAAAATTACTATTGATTATATTAATACAAAAATGTATCTACCAAAAATTTTTCCAAATTGTTTTTTTTTTAAATCAGTTAATTAAAGAAGCTTTTTATGAAACTTCCCTAACAAAACAAAAATGAAATTAAGCAAATATTTAAAGAACTATCAAAATATTAAGATCTGATAAATCTATTGGTAAGGAAAAAAAAAAAAAAAAAAAGAGGAATTTGAAGAAATCAAAACATGATTTTAGCTATAAATAAGTCTCAATAGAAAAGCAAAATAACTTAGAACTGATGAAAATGGAGAACCCACAAAAACTTCATGCACAATCTGCTCCATCTAAAGATAAATCATAAAATTTGAAGTCTAACCAGATATATTTTTAAGATATCTCAATGAATTCACATCTGAAATTTAAATAAAATATTGTACAGAAAATATGGAGTTTTCTTTAAGCGGTTTTCTAAATATGGGGTTTTCTTTATTTTCTTTACAACAAAATTTTGGTCATACTTTCTTTACTAATATGTGGCTTTCTTTGTTCCTATTTATTTATTATTTTTTTTATAGCAAAATTTTGTTATTTTGAAAAATTGTGGCAGAATGAAATTAAATTATATTTTATTTTATTTTATTTATTGATTTATTTTTTACCATAAAAACATAATGGAAAATAACTAAATAACTAAAATAGCGAATCCAGTGTGGGCTACGTAGCGAAGTAACACCCAATCGCATCAATTAGCTCTTGAAATACATCATTCAGAGGTTGGATAACCCATCCATAATCTCTCACAATTTTTTTAAGGCCAAATTGAACAACATTGACAGATATAAGTAGCACTGATAGATACCCTTTTAGATTGGTCAAACTTTTTTCCTTTTGTAAGAAATTAAAAATTTATTACCGCAAAAGAAGTATGCCATTTTGCTATTTTGAGAAAAATTGTGGGTTATCAATTTTGTTATTAATTTTGAGAAATTGTGACCGAATGAAAACAAATGGTTTTTTTTTTTTTTTTTTTTTTGGAGGAGATATTCGCACTCCACTTTTCTCCAATTGTACTCCACTTATCGTTTTCTTTAAAAGAAAATAATATAAAAGTCCTTCAATTCATTAATGCACTCACTATTTCATAATGTCATAACTACCCTTTATACAACTTAATTTTTTTTTTTTTTTTTTACCTTCTTTAGTTCCTTTACTATTTTTTTTTCCTTGTGCTTATACTTTCTTTTCCTTTTCTTTTCGAAAGACCTCTCAAAGAAGATAATTTTCGGAGGTCCTCTTCAAAAAGATAATTTATTTCATACTGATAATTTTATTTTTGACAGTCAAAAGAGATAATTTATTCGTGACTTTTTTTTTTGGTGCAATCAAAACCATTAAAGTTGACTTTTTTTATTATTTTTTATTTTTTATGGTCCCATCAAAAGAAATAATTTATTCAATAGAAATATATATATATTTTTGGGTATTATCAATCGAGATAATTTATTATATATATATATATATATATATATATTAATTCTCTTTTTCATACTTTTTATTTTATCTTAACAAAAGAGATAATTTTTTCAATAAATATATATATATATATATTTTGCATTTTTTTCTTGTCAAAAGAGATAATTATTTTAATGGTTACTTTTTTATTTTTGGTCCGGTCAAAAGAGACAATTTATTTAACATAATTTTTTTTTTTTTTTTTGGTCCTATAAACAAAATATTATTCAATTTCAATTTTTATTTTTATTTTTTATCTTGCCAAAAAAGACCTAAAATATTCAAGATTTAGAGATAAGGAGAAAAAATCTAAAAAGGCAGTTGTGTCATTTTAAAAGTAGGGTAAAGTACAGCCACACCTCCTGAGGTAAAAGGATACTCATATGAAACTTACCTCTTTTCTGGACAAAGATACTCCCAGAAGGTTCAAAAATGAACAAAGACACCCCTTTGCATGAGAAATTGACCAAATTATCCTTTGACTATTTAAGAGACTTTTTTAAATTTACAATTTAATAAATTGGACCAATCTACCGTCATGAGTAATTTATGCATAAAAAAAAAGTAAAAAAAAAAAAAACTTTATATTGTTCACTTTTTTTTTGTTATTTACTTTATAAATGTCCCAACTTCTTAAAAATATAGACGTCTAAAATGACTTTTTGATTCAATACATATATTTCAAATAAATTATATTTTGTTATTGCGTCTTTCTTTTTCTTTTTTATTTTTAAATTAAGATGCTTAATTCTTTCATCTAAAAAAATTAAACCAATCTCTTTTCCTTAAAAATAAAAAATATGGTACCAGTATAACTTTATGCATCTTAAATTATATATCAAATATTATACATTTCCAAACATAAAAGGGAAAAAAATAATAATAAAATAAAAGGAAAAAAAAAAAAAAAAACAAAGGCATGCATAAAGTTAAGATGGATAAAGTTATACTGGTACATATTTTCTTTTATGTTGGGAAATGCATAATATTTGATATATAATTTAAGATACATAAAGTTATACTGGTACCATATTTTTTATTTTTAAGGAAAAGAGATTAGTTAAAAATTTTTAGATGAAAGAATTATGCATCTTAATTTAAAAAAAAAAAAGTAATAACAAAATATAATTTATTGGAAATATATGTATTGAATCAAAAAATCATTTTAGACATTGTAGATACTAAAATTTTAATGGACTTTGGTTTTGACAAATTAATCCATCAAATATAAGTCTGATGTTTAATTAAGTTATTTAATTTGGCCAAGTTTGGTCCACTTAAATTATTTAATTAGCTCAGCCCAGATGATTAAATAGAAAGATAATTATTCTTAATAAATATATTTGGAATAATTATTTAAAAGGATAATTATCGCAATATAACCGGCTCGGCCCAGGTATGATTTTTTCCTTATCAGGAGAAGACACGTGTCATCATCCTATTAATCCAAGAAGCCTATAAATAGAGGCCTGGAGGAAGGAGGAAGGGGACACAAATTCAGAAAATCTAGAGGGTCCAGAAATTGAGAGACTCAGAAATCTAAAAGGTCTAGAAATTCAGAGACAAATTCAGAATTCAGAAATTCGAAGGTCTAGAAATTCAGAGACAAATTCAGAAAATTGAAGGTCTAGAAATTCACACAAAAATTCAGAATTCAGAAATCCAGAATTCCAGAAAGAAATACAGAAACTCTGCCCAAAAGCGAAGAACAACAAGCACATCAAATCGTGCCGTTCTTCATCCAAATTTCACGGTGATCAATAACAAGCACATCAAATCTTGCCGTTCTTCATCCAAATTCCACGGTGATTTAAGATCAAGCTCGTGTAGCCCTTGGATCCAACCAACAAAAAGGAGATCGAATCAGAGGACATTATTCTTTTTTAAAGAAAATTACAGAGGATTGTACTCCAATTTTTCTAATTTAATAAAATATTATTTTTTGCTCCATATTTTGTTCTTTTTTGCAGACTATAAAATTTGTGTGTACAAACTTCTGGCATACCTGGTGGGATAACCTCTGCCTCTCATCTCTTTCTCATATATCAAATCCTCAACAAATTCATCATCAGACTCTATGACTTCCAACAAGATTTAGACGAAGAACAAGAATACCTCGAAGGACATCGCAGTCATGACAGACAACATAATACCACCACAAAAGATGGCAAGAAGGTTGCAACTTCATTAAGTGGTACTAACATCTCTGCAAGCCCAATGATGCAGAACATAGCCAAAGCATCCGTTCCCACCAAAAGGCCAAACGATGCGGTAAAAGTAAATTCCATCAAATTCGCCAAATCTGTCCACGTAACAACTCAAGCTCATACCGCCTTCACCTCGTTGGGGGCAAGGAAGAAGGTTCTTACAACCTTAAAGGTTGCTCCATTCACAAGTTCAAGTTCAAGGCTAGTCCACTCAAGGCCATAGATTTTTTTTGACTCTGTCACTATGCCAGTTATGATGGCGAATACTACCTTGTATGAAGAGCAATTGATGAGTATGGCCCCGTGCAATTGAAAGATTACAATACTCTCTCAAGGAGCAAGGTCTAAAAATTGCCTCGCTGATAGAAAAATTAAAATTTCGTTAAGACAATGTTGAGTCAAGCAAAGGCCAAATTCCTCATTCTAATTCCATGCTAGAGAACACTCCAATTGATGATCAAAATGACATGTTTCCCAATCCAACAATTGAAGCTGACTCCGTCACCTCACTCTCTGTCCAACAACTTCAAGACATGATAGTAAATTGCATAAGAGAACAATACAATGGCATTCCTCAAAGTGCTCGCATATACTCAAAGCCTTATACAGAAAAAATTGACATCTTAAAAATGTCGGTTGGGTACCAACCTCCAAAGTTTCAATAATTTA